AATAATTTCAAAACGTTTTTCTTTATTAATATAATCAACAGCACAAATTTCAGATAATACTTTAAATTGTGTATTTGTATGATTTTTAAAAAAAAATAAAATAGGAATTAATTTATCTGAAGAAATATTAATACATAATTCATTTTTATATAAAGTATAATTTATTATAGGTAAAATTTGTAATAAATATTGACTAAATTTTTTTAAAATTTTCATAAATTAAAAATAATTATAAATATTAAATTTTTATATATTATTAAAAAAATAAATATTTTTTTTTTTTAAATTATTTAGATATTTACTATAAATAATTACGTAACAAAGTAAAAATATAATAAAAATTTATTTTTATTATATTTTGTAGGATTTAATTTTAATTAAAAAGTGGTGATGTGCTTCCTGGTTTCAAGATGCGCGCACCTGTGTTGGAAATGGTCTTGAACCAGGATTCGGGTTCGTCGTCAGAAGATGAAGTTGATCTGCTGTGTCCCTCTCCAAGATGCAACAAGCGATTCCGTTCGTATGGTGCATGCGCTGCTCATGTCGAATGGCACCGTAAGGAGAGATCTATCTCGAAGTACTTAGCCAAGCGTGAGAACTTATAGTTATCCAGTGTGAGCTCATAGCCATCCAGTGTGGCAACTACGCTTCGACAAGTTCCTATCTAATCATATCGCAGAACTCAAAGCTTACGATCTAAAGCATAGTTGGCGGCGCTGACTGATTTCTTATTCCTGATTGGTGGCTAAGAGAAGATAATAATAAAATTATCTATTGTTTTATAAATATAGTTTGAATGTTGTCGTCTAAAGCTAAGCTTACCCTAATATCCAAAAGACGTTGCTTTCGCTCTCAGGTGGTCTCTTGGTGGTAAATTACGGTAAGGAAAAAAAAACTGCGATGCAATGTTCCATTACCCACTACTTCCGTTAGGGTCGTGATGTCGGCGTTGTACATGCGTACCATTTCTTCCATTCCAGACTCGTCACGAGTTCCAATATCCCATGGATTGTACGGGATGATCACACGGACACCACGACGATGGAAGTCAGCGATGACGCCCTTGACGCCCTCGACTCCACCGGGAAGGTCTCGTAGGAGATCCCATTGGTTCCGGTTGTCCACACCGATGTTCGGGTATGAAGGCCAGATCAACACACTGTCAATGGGGCCAACACGACTCTGCATCTCATCCACGTACTTGTCCACCGTGTATTGCTGGGTCTCGCGATCGTAGATGGAGCGGTCGTTCATCATAAGAAACGTCTGCACGAAATTCTGCTGCGTCCATTGAGTTTGCTGGAAGTTGTACACGTTGCACGAGTCTTTCGGGTTGTACCGGTTGGTGATCAGTTCCATTTTCTTCCATGCGGTCCAGTCACGACGCCATGCGTCCACGGACTCGGGGCCATCGGGACCGTCGATCACCTCGTAGCCGTCGGGTTGTTGATCCCAAGCGAGTGCTTGACCGAAGAGGCAGCAGGCCGCGGACAGGTAAAGTCCGGTTAGAGCACGCATGGAGGGTTCGATGTGCGCGCGACGCAGGAACTTGAGGAATGACGCTTCGATTGCGAGGAGCCCTACTCCAAGATCGTCAAACGTAGCGCTGCACAGCCACGGAGCCAATCTAATTGGACATATTGAACGCAAGTCTCAGCACCTGCACATCAAATCTCCGTCTGGAACAAGGACAGCTTCCGCTGCAAGTTGAAGCGCGATCCAAGCTTCTCTCCCCGCTATATACAGGAGCGGGCTTGAAGTCCGCAAATAAATGCACTACGTAGGCGCAGAAATCCAGATCGAAGGGGGAGATGCAGTCCCGCTTAAAGCCTTGGTCGTCAGAGACATTTACACGATAACGCAAGCCAGACAAACTTAAGTCGAGAGTGCGTTTGATGAGAGGTCAGCACGGGTACTGTATATGTAGTTAAATCGGGTGCCGAATAAATTTGATGCGTCACACCGTGAGCACGAATTTGAGTTTACCGTATTCCTTATGTGCTTACCGACAGGCATATTTACGATTTGAACCTGCACTATCCATTGACATAAAAGTTACCTTCATGGATGGCTTTCATAAAAGAAATATGTGACGTGTAAAAAAATGTCGTTTGGCAATTTAACCTCCCCAAAGCGACGGCCTGTATTATACACGTTTCGTAGGGAGGGCTTATCCTGTATAATACACGATAAATGGTGCATGAATGATCTGCTAGTTTTTCACCTTGTTTTTGTATACGGTCATACAAACGCTAAGCCAAAGAGGGATAGGTATGTGAAGCCTGATCCTGGTGCGGTGTGCGCAGGCGGTGCATTGCACAATTTTTCATAAAATAAAAGTTTAGAGGAAACTCAGCGATATGTGGTTCACGCCAAATCAATATAAGAAACTGCAGGGATTTTCAACGCCACTCATTTTGGCGCTCATTTCAGAAAACTCCCGCTCCCAGTCAGATGTCGGGGTTTCGGGCCTGGTGGAAGGAACTACGGCAGGAAGGCTGGTCTTCCAAGCCTCCTACAGGCCTCTCAAATGACCACACCTATCTGAAGCCCGGTAAAAGCAAGACAGACGTGCGCGGAATAGACTTCTTTGTAGGGGAGAAGGAGCTGATGTCGTATTTGGATCGACTAGACCTTGGTAAGTTGTTTATTTCTAATGATGTATTTGAAAACTTGAGCCTAACCGTTTGACGCGTGTATAGATGAGCTTGCGAGGCAAAAAGGAAGATGAACGACAGACCGACGACGCCACACACGCATCCTCGAGGCAAGACGATGGAGCCACTCCACCTGATGACGCTACTACACCTCCAACAGGTATATTTTACAACGCCTGTACATTACACCGTACCTGTCTAGCACTATCGTGTATTATGCAGTTAGTACAGTGCGTGAAGAGCCACTCTCAACCACCCCAGTACGACAACAGACGCACCCCAACTCTCCAATGCAATCTCACTCCAGTGCACCGCTAATTACTACTTCGCCGCAAGAAGCTGACGACGATATCGATGCTTTATTTTCGTCAAGTCCAGACACACCCGGTACGTTTACTGTGCCATCCATACAATTCGAAGGTGTTGTAGCTAACTCTTTTCAACGTTGTATTTTTCCAGTTGTGCCAACCACTTCAAGGCGCAATCTGTATGAACTGTTTGGGTCTTCTGATGATTCAGATGACTCTAACGACTCTCCGCAAAGCCCCATAAATGTGCAACAGTCCGCAGACGGCGATCGCGTGGACGCGGCATCGAACGCTGCGTTTTCCTGTTCGTCTTTATCTGGTAGGTTCAAACGTGTATGTACACGATATACAATTCCTTTGTATACATGATACACATACATGATAATAACAACTATCATGTATATTTTTAACAGACGATCCTAACATTGTAGCGCCCCGGCGATGACAAGTATGTCTTTGCAAGTCTTGATTTCGGACGAAGAAGGGGGGAAGGATTCTCTGTGTACGACGATGATGAGGAGCTGGAGCTCGCTGAAGCCTGATCCCCAGCATTGAAGATGAAGATGTCGTCCCACCTGAGCTTTCCATTTGATGCGTCTCTACTTGAAGCAGTAGGTGGTGTTCACGAGATTGCACGTGGCAACCTCAAGGCTGATGTTTTAGCCGACATGAAGGAGAACGGGTGGTCTCCAGTACACAATCAGACGCCTTACCCATACATGGATGAAACCCTACGACATGCGTCGCGATGATTGGGCAAATATTGACTATCCGGATCTATTTCGCGGTGAACATGGACCAACTGCTGCAGCGTTGAGCGCTGCCGAGACCCCAATTGGTGCATTTTTTCAGTTCGTCCCGCCGTACTTACTAGAAAGAATTGCGGGTGCTAGTAACGACTACTTTATGGAGAACCTAGACGCGCGAGTGGAGAGTCTACACGCCAAGCAGCTAGATAGGAAGCTGAAAAGGCCTGATTTTCATGTCTCACCTCCGGATATCATAAAGACTAAGCTGCTGAACACGAAGGACATTTCAGGACGAGAAATTGCTATTTTTCTTGGATTACTTATTGCAAGAACGATAGCTCCCAACAAAGAGAGGTTTGATAACCATTGGAAGACTACAGATGAAGGTGCTATTCCTCGTGGCTGTTTTAACGCATTTATGACTAGAGATCGCTTCTATCATATCTCGCGGGATCTCCATTTTAGCAGCAATGCTGACGCAGAGCGCATACCGATCGAGCTTGGAAACTCCGCCCGGTGATTGACGTGCTGCAAGAAACATTTCAGGCCAGTTTCATCCCAGCTCCAATAATGGCGTTTGACGAAGCGATGCTTCCGTGCACGTCTCCGTTCAACAAGATGAGAATCTTCATGAAGGACAAGCCCCATCGCTGGGGCACAAAGCTTTTTATCCTCTGCTGTTCCAAGTCTGCATACTGCATCAGGTAAGGAAAAGAGCGTGCCTTCGGGCACGCTCTTTTTTTTTAGGTTTCAAAGTTACCTTATCGTGTCTTCGGCGTGCTAAAACCTTTTGTATTATTGTGTATATTACAGGTTTGAAGTCTATTGTGGAAAGCAACAAATGCAAGACAGTAGCACACCCAGTGATGAAAAATCGGGACCTGCCGCAGTCGTACGGAGCTTACGTCAAGTCTTCGGCGTCAACGGACCAACTGAGCGACGTCTCATAGTCACCGACAGGTTTTACACCTCTGTCGTGCTGGCTATGCAGCTGCTGACCATGAACTTCTACAGTTTGGGAACAATAATGACGAACAGAAAGGGGCTGTGCAAAGCAATTCTACCAAAGAAGACTAAAAACGGCAGGAAGGAATCAAAGAAGCGACCAGCACACATCGTCAAAGGAACGTATGACGTAGCCACCCTCCAAAAGGTGCCATCGACCAAGGCCGTCCGTTGGTGGGATAATCAAGCGGTGTATCTGCTTGCTGCTGGAGGAAGTGCAGTACCAGACCGTATCGTGCGTAGGAATCCAGTAGCTGGAGATCAGACAGAGTTGATGTGTCCACGGATCGTTAAAGACTATCAGACTTTCATGGGCGGAGTCGATGTTCACGACCAGTTGCGTCTACAACGGCAAGTATTCATATCCTGTATATACACGTTGAAGTCATCGTTTTAAAATGTATTGTACGTATTATTAGGTATTCACTGCAATTGGCTCGGCGCTACAAGAAGTACTACAAGTCTCTCTTTCTGGGACTGATAGACATGGCTATCATCAATGCTTTCATCGTGCACAATTACCATCGCGCGGCAACCGGGAAGCCAAGGGTTTCCCACGTGACGTTTCTGAAGACGCTTCATCTACAGCTCTGTCAGTTGCTACCGGAAGATTGGGTGCAGCTTCTTCGCCACCGCAGGCATCACGCGACGCCTACGCGGGCACGACAAGCTCGAGCGGCGCAGATGCCTGTACAGGCCGACGAGTGGCGCAAAGAAAACTCCGATAAGACGAGAAAGCGTAGGCAGCGTGCGTGCAAGGTTTGTTCGGTGCTAAAAGGCGCTGCCACGTCTCGAGGAGGGGAAACGATATTCTTCTGTGCTGAATGTAAGCTGAAAACAACATCAAGACACGAGTTAGCCGCACGCGTATTCCTCTGCAACAAGGTGAAGCATTACAGCAAAGGCGAACCTACTTCGTGCTGGGATATCTGGCATAAACACTGGAAAAATGGGACTACGATCCCTCAATCAGGACGCAAGCGCAAAATTCGAGCCCGGAAGCCCGCACGCGCTGCAAGTGACGGTGGATCTGATGCCAGCGACTCGGAGTCGCAGTCTAGAGCTAAAATCGGAAGTGTTTCCTCTCAGGGTCGTTCGGGATGGCGGCCACACACCAACGATGACGGCAGCTAGTGAGATCGTCGTCAGAGCACATGTTCCGGCTTCAAAAATAACTTGATTTGAATAAATGGTTTTTGTGCAGATCACCATGTGGAATCCTTCTCTAAATATCGACAAAAATATGACCCGTCACTCCCCGCTAGATGTGTTTTTGTACAAATGTTGTGTTGTCTTTGTTCACTCAGGACACGATATCAGCGTTATCGCGTACAGTGCAGACATGTTAGTATACCTGATACATGATATCGAGAAATGAAGACCCTAGGGGTGGGGCGCTGTACCGACTCTGTTAAATACACGATAAAATATAGCTGGGTCTTACTATTGTAACCCACTATCCATAACGTGTATGGGGTTTCGGTAAATAGGCGCAACGAA